AAGTTACTATCGTATTGAGAAGAACTGTGGAGTTGACAGAGCAGATCGGGATCGAAGTACATGAACCGATGTGGTTAGACGCTAAAACCTTGAAAAGGATAGACTCGCCTAGAACCATGGTTCTTCCCGCCTTTCTTACCTTAACCTTGGAAGTCATCCCAGTGTACCTACAGAGAAGGCACTCGGTACATAATTTTTCAATGCAAAGCTTATAGATTTCAACGAGCACAAATAGAGGGATGACAGACTATTATCTAACTCTGTTCCGTACTGCAAATCCAGGTCAATTCATATGCACATGGGACAAGTTGTGGGGTATGTTGCATGTATTTCTATGTACGGAGTACATAAGCACCATGTAAATTACAATTGTCATGTCCCACACATATGCCCACCATTTGGGCAATTTGTGCTGGCTGATCATTGTATAATAAAATAATTACACGTTCCAACATTGGTACGTGCATCGACTGGGACGAATAATAAACTGTTACGGAGTACTCCGTGCATAGGTAGGCAAGGCAGACAAACTAAAACAAAAGGTGACGGAAAATCGAAGGGAACTGGAATTTAGACCTGTTTGTTTTCAATCCGGCTGCAGTAATATAAGCATAGCTCGTCCATAGTGCGGTAATTCGTCAAATAGTTACGGATGAATAACAAGGAATGCATAATATGATCGTCCAATTCAACCAACTTCAGCAGTCGGAGCCAAATCTTCTCATGGATAGTATGGAGCACACATGGCACCATCAAATGTGGCAACATCGTCTTTGTATGGAAATGAACTCGACGACAAAACAGCATAAGTTCTTCAAGCCATTGCACACAGATTGAACAAATGTGATTTTGATGGCAGCATTGGGCTAGCCGATACTAGTATATTTGTTCGACCTAATTTGTCAAATTCATCTATCCATTTCTCTCTCTTTCTGGTTTGAGATCTATGCCTATTCTCCTTTTTTTTTTTGCTGTTCCTCGTACGGCTAAGGAGTACATGTTCAAAATTAAAAATAAAGTTGGATGCCTGAGCCAAACTAGTGGGTCCTGATGGTGATCCCTCGAGTATCTCCGTACAGCAGTAGAACTAGGTACATCATCAATCGCAAAGATCAACAATATCGAGGTAAGAAGCAAAGTATTATCTGCATTTAAGATCTCGATCTTCAACTTGTACAGAGTACACGAGTTCCGAGGCTAGTGACCTTGGCACGATCCTCACATCAAACATGCATTGATGGGCAACACAACCTTGCAAAGTGCTAAATTACTAGCCAATACAGTGGCGTTACTAGTCTCCATCCGGTGCTCCACTCATAGGCCATCGTCACAATTGGAATCTGGGCACACGACAGCTCGATTGTGAACTTTCAGCTTTCAACTCCACAGCCAACACCCCACATGTGAGGACAAGCACATACCGTCTCCGGGCAATTCCCATTCTTACTGTCTCAATCTCTCGGTCAAAGCCAACTTTGGGATCCAGAGTCTGCGATTATCAAGAGCTTGTGGCCATGGATTCGGTTATCGCTGCGCATAAATTGCTCCAATATCTTCGCTTTGGATATCCTCTAATTCTGCTAGTGATTCTCTCTGTTGTCTTCTTGGTTCATTCATTCCAGGTAGCCAAAAGAAATGCCGGACAGAATTCCAAAGTGCAGTATGGCCCCGGTGGGAAACCACTGCCTACGCGAAGCCGAATTATGATGGCGGTAGCCAGAGACTTGCCCGCGGAACTTGCGTTGAATAAATCAAAAACCTGGTTTGTTTGGTTAAGCCTTTTCGTGTTGGCAACCTATATTGCGGAGGCAGCAATTCATATGACCCATGTCTTGATGTCAAAGTCAGAACAGTGGTGGTGTGGTCAAGCGGTGGTGGTGAGACTTGTGTTTCTAACATTGAAATCAAAGCTAATAACAAATAAGGTCTTTGTGGTTGGGTCTTTCTTCACCCATACCGTCATCTTCATCTCTTTACTCGATACGAACCCTGCGCCATCAATCGCGCAATTCATCCCATGGGTCTCCGCCATTCCTTTCGAAGTTGCAATTCTCTCGATTTCCATCTCAATCTATTCTCATACCCACCGTGAGCCCACAATTGAAGATCTATTCGGTGGAATATTGCGCACAAAAATCACATTCTGGGAGGCATTAGAGATTTCCGCAGGCTCTGTGCGGATTTTTGTTCTCACCCTGCTGAGCGCGTCCTACATTTTCAAATCTGCCCGCGGACATCGCGACTTCAAGGATGCCGAAAATTCCAATGCTGCAGAGACGGCCCGTCTGCTAGATTCAAGAGGAAATGCCAACTCGGATGACAGTGACACATTGACTGATGATCAACAGACCCCTGCAGTAGAAGCGTGGGTACGGCCTTTGACAACCCCTTCCACTAATTGGATGGAATATCTGAGTGGCTATTCCCTATTCTTTCCATATCTGTGGCCTTACAAATCTCTCCGGCTGCAAGTTGTCGTCGTCATCTGCTTTGGTATCTTAATTGTGCAGCGAGCAGTCAATATCCTAGTCCCGTATCAAGTGGGAGTGATCACAAACGCATTGTCCACTAGTGATGGGACTCTACAAGTGCCTTGGATGTCTATCTGTTTGTATATCCTCTACCGTTGGCTTCAAGGTAGCCAAGGTTTCCTTGAGACAGTTCGTTCGAATCTGTGGATTTCAGTCAGCCAGTATGCATATATGGAGTTGTCAACGGCTGCATTTGAGCATGTTCATAGCCTAGGACTGGACTTTCACCTGGGTAAAAAGATGGGCGAGGTTCTCTCCGCTCTCACCAAAGGCAGCTCAATTAACACTTTCCTTGAGCAAGTGACCTTTCAAGTGCTGCCCATGTTCATCGATTTGGCCGTCGCCATCGGATACTTCCTAGTCGTATTTGACGTGTATTACGCATTGGCTGTTGCTATCATGACATTCTTCTATCTCTATTCAACTGTCAAAATTGCCTCTTGGAGAGCCAATATGCGACGCCAAATGGTAAACGCTTCTAGACAAGAAGACGCTGTCAAGTAAGTTTCCCCTCCCGTTTCCCTCTCTTTATTCCGTGAGGCTTTACTAATATATACAGAAACGATTCTCTCGTGTCCTACGAAACCGTCAAGTACTTCAATGCAGAGGAATACGAGTTCAAACGCTATCGAGGGGCTGTCTCGGACTACCTCCGGGCGGAATGGCATTCCCTCTTTGCACAGAACCTGATGAATATTTTCCAGAATGTCATCTTTATGCTTGGCCTTCTAATCACCTGTTTCATTTGTGCTTACCAAGTAGCTCGGAGCCAACGTGCAGTCGGCCAGTTCGTTACCCTCCTTACCTACATGGCCCAGCTGCAAGCTCCGTTGAACATCTTCGGAACCTTCTACCGATACATTCAATCTGCATTGATCAATGCAGAGCGTCTCCTCGAGCTATTCCGCGTCCAACCCTCGGTGGTGGATGAACCGTCTGCAACACCACTAGCAGTTTGTCACGGCCGAATCACGTTTGACGATATCCAATTCTCATATGACACACGACGACCTGCCCTCGATGGATTGACCTTTGACTGTAAGCCGGGTACAACCACTGCTCTGGTAGGAGAGTCCGGCGGCGGAAAATCGACGATCTTCCGCTTGCTCTACAGATTCTACAATCCGAACGGCGGAATCCTTTCCATCGATGGACACGACACTCAAACCTTGACAATTGACTCTGTTCGAAGACACATTGGGATTGTCCCACAAGACACAGTTCTCTTCAACGAAACAATTATGTACAACCTCAAATACGCCAACCAGGATGCCACTGACGAGGAAGTCTATGAAGCCTGCCGCGCAGCCAGTGTGCACGACAAGATCATGGCATTCCCTGATGGTTACGAAACCAAAGTGGGAGACCGCGGATTGCGACTAAGTGGTGGCGAGAAACAGCGTGTTGCCATTGCCCGAACCATTATCAAGAAACCTCAGATCATCTTGCTTGATGAGGCAACGGCCGCATTGGATTCCGAGACGGAGCAGAACATTCAAGAAGCACTGTCTGTCTTATCGCGTGGGCGCACTGTGCTTGTTATTGCCCATCGATTAAGCACCATCACCACTGCTGATAATATTGTTGTATTGCACAAAGGTCGTGTCGCAGAAAGTGGAACCCATGAGCAGCTACTGGCTTCTCACGGTCGATATACAACCATGTGGCAGAAGCAGATTCGTGCGCAGACTGAATCTGTAGGGTTGGAGGCCTTGTCAGGCAAGGTATAGATTTGTATATTTAAGGGCACTTCGTATATAGAGTTGCCTATGGAGAAACAAAAACGTGCATAGTTGGTTTCTTGTTTAAGGGAAAACTTTTATTGGAGCTTGGTGGTTGAGGGAAATCAGTCAATGTTTAATCCTAATGCTTAATCTAGTTCTTGGAAATTAAGACCATTCGAGCGTGAAATTCACTCGGTGAATCCAAAGCCGAGCAAACCAGAATAAGAATCAAGATCCAGGAAATAAGTGAAAATGGACAGAGTTCTTCGGACTACTTCGGAGCTGAATTGTGCATCCGATATGACCAATAGGCCCTATCTCCCAAAATGGCCTGGTGGCGCAGTAAGTCGAGGGCCCATATGCAGGGGTATACTATGGGAAATCACACAGGGGAGAATGCTAAGTGATTTTTGTTTTGAGCTTCAGTAATGTGATAGATCGACTCTTTTATGTGCAAACAATAAAGAATCGATTGCAGGATGAACCCTAAAATATATATTATGTACTACACATCATGTATCCTGTGAGGTCTATGCTGTATTACTCCCAAGACAATGTCCAGTATTTTTTGGCAACTCAATCTGTACGATCTCGATTTCTTTAGTGTCACAAGTCTCATCCGGGTTCAAGAGATATACCAGACAAAGAGTGCTCATTTGGTTATTTCTACACTTTGTCGGACATGATTCGACTTTCAACAAACTTATTGAATTTCCTTCCCTTGTGAACATATCATTTTCTGGACATGGAGCGCATTCTTTGGCTCGATAGCCTCCGGGGCGTCGCCTCAGCTTTGGTAGTGGTACATCATTCAAAAAGCTCGGAGCCCAAGAGTATCGTTGGTTTTTTGACCAGGTCCTATTGGGATGAACCGGCTGAAGAGAACCGTCGTCTTATCCAACTCCCGCCCTTCCGACTTCTCTTCAATGGCCCATCAATGGTGGCATTGTTCATGGTTATATCGGGCTATGCGATCTCGCTTCCTCTGCTCCGCTGCCGAGAGGAGATTGGGGCAAGCAACTCGGGCTTCTTTCGTCGATTATGCTCTGCTGCAACTCGTCGAATATTTCGAATTTATCTGCCCTCTATCGCCATACTGTTTCTCAGCCAACTTGTGTACTTTTGTAATGTGGTCCAGGGGAAGGCTGCGGATGACTGGCTAGGTGGGCTAAAGCCATTGACAGCGCCATTGACCCATATCCAATATGTGCTTTCGAGGATAGTGCATCTGCTCGATATCAGCAACCATCAAGTCGATATCAATTTTGATCACAACCGACCGGATATGCGCACCATAAACTACCAGCTGTGGACAATGCCAATTGAGTTCCGTGGCTCGTGTGCTGTCTACTTGCTACTCGTGACATTTTCATTTTGGAGACCCCAACCTCGATATCTGGGATTGGCAGGTGTGGCGATGTATTGGTTTTATATGGGACATTGGGATCTCTTTTCTTTCGTTGCCGGGATTGTTCTTGCAGAGAGACACGTCGCATCAGAGTCCAAGCCTGACGAAGAGATTGCACTATCATACTCACCTTCACCTCTCGAGATTCAAAAGCCTATTGCCAAATCCTGGAACCAATTCGCAGAGAACATAAATCTCCAACATCTTCGAATATCAGTGTCTTTCATTCTAGGATTGTATTTCCTTTGCATGTGCGGCGCTGACCGGTTAGCACGGGAGTACCGATGGCTCATCGTGACTCGATCTCCTGAGTGGGATAATGCTGAGATGATGCCTCGGTGCTGGAGGAGCGTTGGGGCAGTTCTGATGATATATTCAGTCAGCAAATATTCGCTGCTTCAAAGACCGCTTAACTCACGACCACTGCAATACTTGGGCAAAATCTCATTCCCGCTCTATCTAGTCCACCCAACAGTCTATCTTGTTCTCAAATGGCCAGTTCGAGACTTTATGTGGTGGGCCATTACAAGAACGCCTTATCCTGGTACTATTGAGGCGAGCAAGCATGCTCTACCGTTTTCCATAGCTTGGATGGGAACCATGTTGTTGTTGGGCATCGTTATGGTGATGGCATCTGAACTTTGGAATCGCTTCGTTGATATGAGGTGCATAGCGCTTGCAAGAAAATTCGCAAAATGGGTTTCATGTTAGCGGATGCAATGTCAAGGATGGACTGCAAAATAATCAGGACCTCCTACGATCTACTAGTAGCATTGGAAGTCACCATCTTAGTAGGCCTCTCTTGTCGGAGGGTTTACCAGTACATAAGTAATGCACAATATATTAGACACAAAAACTTTTATGACTTCATCCTTATATGCCCTATGACGGAATATTCAAATAACCCCCGCAAAAAAAAAAATATATCACAGACGCCGTTATGCAAGAACCCCAAAAGAATCAGATCATCCCGAGTTTCATGAAATGGGTATACATCATAAATCCTTCGATTACTCCTTCTGAGTGGCCTCAGTCTCTGCCTCGGCCTCCGCATAGCCCTCGGTCTTCATGTCTGTCAGACCGAGATCATCTTCCTCCTCGGCAGAGCGGGTGTACTCCTCAGTAGTGATCTTGTGGTCGATAGCAGGACTGCAAAGATCTTGGACGTAAGATGAGGCCATCGGGTCTTGCAAAGTGATAGTGAACTTGAGCTCGCCGCTAATAGCCTGGTCAAGACGACTGAAGAATCGTTGCCACTTATCCTTGTCAGAAGAGACCATGCTGTCGCCTCCGGAGTTTGCGGAATCGTCAACATCGAAAATGGCACCCTTCAACTGATCCCTGATCTCAACCAACAATCCTTCAACCGTGGTGAAACGCCCACCGAGCGTTCCTGGCTGAACATCTAGGTCAAGCTCGGGACTGTAAAGTCCTGCTGAGTCACTCTTGAGAATATCGCGCGAGAGATCAACCTCGTTATCCACCTGGAGAGTGATACGCTTGCCCTTCTCGGGCACCTCGCCACCGGTCTTAATTGCAGACGACTTGTAGCCGCAGTGTCCACAGTTCGTGCCAAACAGCAGAACTTCCTTGAAGTAAGGAATGTTGACCTTCTTAATATTGACCTCGGCTTCCTTATTACAACCGGGGCACTCGGCAGGAATGGAGTAGACCTGACCATCAACGATATCAAGATCATCTGGGTCTCCGGCATCGATCTGAGCTGTGTCCTCTTGGTTGACAGCGTTTGCGTCTGCGGAAATTCCCAACTCCTCGTTCTGTTCGTGGGTACGCGGGTATTCACGGCGCGTGTACTTGTTGCCACGATCGGTGCTGTTGGGCGCAATCCAGGAATTTCCAGTGAGGTCATCGAGGGAGACGTTGAAGGGGAAAGCGTCCTCGCGGTTCATGATCTTCTCAAGACTGTCGATGATAGGCACGAGGGATTTGTAAAGTTCAGGAGCTTGCTCCTTACGGAGTTCTTGCTCTCCTGACAAGGTTTCATGAATGAGTTGAACCACTAGAGATGAGAAGGTTAGCATCTTGAAATCGATTTCTATGTATGAATTGGGTTTCACGTACTGCCTTCCACATTGGTCAGCTGGCCGGTTCCCTTGGGAACTTCGATCTCATTTCCGAGCTTAGTAGTAAGTTTGAAAATTGAAACATCGCTGCGGATGACTTGGCGCTAAAAGATCCAATTAGCTTCAGCGGGAGAAAATGGATTCTAGCTGGAGATAGATACCTGGAGATCCTCCTCATTCTCGACCCTTAAAGTGTAAACTGTTCCACGCTCCTGGATCTGGCCGGCCGACTTGATCGAGTTGTTTTTGAGGAAGCAATGTTCACATTCGAAACTCTCCAGAATGATGTCTCTGAAGTAAGGGACTCGGAGCAAAAGCAAGCGCGTGACTCTAAAGCGATTGAAAGTTAGCAAATGTGCAAGACATAAAAACTAAGGACTAGAAACGAACCCTTGCTCGTGGCAGTTCATGCAAAGTGAGTCTATTGACATCGCGCCGGTGTCCTCATCACGCTCCACAAGATCGCCAGGCTTTTGGAATTGTGACTCAAACTGAGCCTCGAGGGCATCATTATCGGCTTTGCTGACCATTGTATAGGATAGATTTGTGAAGAATTAATGAGAAATGACGTTCAAGGTAAATATGTAAAAGAGGGAAGAAGAACGTGTTGAAGCAAGAAATTCTTATCGCAAAAAAAATTATCGGAGCCACGGGAACATTCCTTCCTGTTCTGCGCGGGGCAGGTGGGGCTGACAAAGAGGGGGATGAGGTAATCTTTTTCTGCCATTGTATGTGTCACCGCCCTTTGAGTTTGGGCGGTAAGGGCATAACTTTATCTAGTGACGTGACCTAGATGGGTGTAGATATTCATGTACAGTGTACATTATGCATTGTGCATGAATCTGCCTAGCTTGCATTGTGGGTTCATGTCTCCAATTCCCGTCATTGGATCTCCCGTATCCACTCGAACATCAGAATCTGCAGATCTAGGTAGTTAGCATCATCTTTGAATGGAGGGTTTGGGGCTATTCGGGGGCACTTATAAGAAGAAAAAAGTGGCCGTTTCCACCACCAAGGTAGTAGAAACGGCAGTCCACCGGGTATCGCTTGGCCAGAACATTCTGCTCCCATATAAAGAACCATAATTGACACAACATCCAACTCCCAATGACAATACAATAGTTCCATGGCGGTATAGAGATCGGTGCCGACTTCTTATTCGTCGCTTTTCAGTTCACCCCAGTCAGACAATATGGATGAGCCTCGGCCGGGGACGCGTAGCAGCAGATGAGCATCGTAGACAAGCCAAAGCTTTGATCCTCACTCTAGAGAGGTCCCACAACACCCACTGCATGGCGCATACACGTGAGAACCGACCAAGGACATCAGCCCCATGTCGACTGGAAATGGGCTGATAAGTCAAAGCGTTCGAACAATAGAGATCGTACGTTTCTCCGACCAGAAAAATTGCGATCAATCGAGAGATAGGAAGGCGATCATCAAATTCAGGCGCAAACAGGAGTTGAGGAATATCTGGGAGCAGACGACAACCGATGAACGGAGCCCACGAACCCACAAAAGCCCACACAACCTTCGCATAGACAAGCCAAACTTCAAACTTGGCCAAGGCACAGTAATCTCAACCGAATCTGCTTAACAGCCATCCATCTCCGCAATTCCAGTCAACTCGCCATCGTTTCACCGATACCGTCGCATGAGCATGAAGCCGAGTTTCCCGTGTGTGATACAGTACCCTTTGGGACAGGTTTTTGTTTCCTCTCCCGGTTGACCCGAAGGTTGTCCAGGAGGGCATGTTGTGAAGCGGACAAAGAACATCCAGAAAAATCGCTTCCTTCTTCCCAAGGGAAGGAACAATGATGGAAGTCATTGTTGAAGTCGGCGCCCATCAATCTATTCACAAACTACTTTGCGAAGAGATGGTTAACACGGTCGGTCGAGATCTTCTGACGAAGTCGCATCGGTGGCGGGTGCCGTGATACGAGGTGCCTAGCCGCCTGTGGGGCGTAGGAATAACAGAACCCGAGAAGGTGGAACGCAGGGGCAAGATCCCCAGGGATCCTGGAATAGGAAACATGTGCAGGAGCAGACAGTTGATGCTAGCAGAATTGATGAGAGAATACAGACAAATAAGTCCGAAAAACATCAAATGCCTCGGGGAAATTTGTTGCCATCCGGAACGTGCCAACAGTTCGCAATCTCCGATGTGCTCCTAAGACCAACATCGAAGAATCATAGGGCAGTATAACCAAAGAACCTCGCGACAATTTCAACTGTGAAAATGCCTGGGCAATTTTCAGGGAGAGGAAAGTTGATTCCGGCGAGTGGATCCTTTGGATATGCTGATACTATGACTGTGTGTAAGGATACTGCTGTATTCTAGGCGACAAATCTCTGAACCAAGCCATCTGATGCCCTAGGGTATTCGAGACTTGAATGCCGCATTCAATCGCCATCTGGTCGCGCTGTCGTGGTTGCTCCTAAAGGTGACATCTGATACCGAAGTACCCGACATGCTTCACCCGCATTCTCTTCTCGCTGAACTAATATCCGAGGCATAGAGCGACCATCCGTTTGTGACCGGCATGCAGCGTCCAGCATTGGCAAACCGACGCGGTCTCCGTTTGGATAACGCATAGTAAACCGTCTTTTGTGCTCGAAGGCTCTGGCTAATTCGAATCTCTTTCGCTTAATCGGACCATCACAGTCTGTTTCAGCTAATCGTATGATCCGGCATGCGCAATCCGTGAAACTATGTCTGTGAGGACATTGAACCGGAAAGGGCTTAGGGCTTGGCTCCAATACCTTCTGCGCCGAAACGATACAAACGCCCGAGGGCGAGACATATGTGACGGTTTACCATTGAAGGCAGCAGATGAAATGGAGATTTGAAAGGGTTGATCTGTACATATGTGCCTCCGAAGGCAAGAAACTCGAGTGGCTCTACCCTCAGGAAACGGTCGCGGTGGAACTCCGGCACGTCTAAACAGAGATTGGGTCCAATGAATGTCATAAAAACAAGCAAAAGTCAGGGTATCTGAGGAACTGGTCATGACGGTTCAAATTGTCTATTGAAAGAGTGTGAATGGGCTGTGGATAGAGTAGACGGAGTTGGTGACAACAACATCCTGGGTTGACTTAACCCTCAATGCGGGCAAGCGCGACGTGCCACGAGACTGACGCGACCACCACGTGATCAGGTCCGCGTGACTCTTTTTTTGTCTATTATATAATCAGCTACGAACGCCAAGACCCGCAATTGTTCTACGATGTCGATGAGGCGAATACCTTCATTGGCATAAAATTGGCATGATAGGGTTTTACAAGTATTTATGATGGGGGTTCCACACCAAACTCGCGAAGCTTTTGGCATTGCTAAGAACTTTCTGACCCCAGTCCTCGATCGAGGTATGTACGTTCGAGATACTTATGTACATTTAGGTCTCTGGTGCTGACTGTCTACAAGAGGAAATACAGAAGACCCAAGGTAAGTCTTTACTGCAGATCCTCGGTCAGACTTTGGAGGATGATGACGGTGCTGGTGATGATGCCGCGAGACCAACTGTGATCAATGAGGCTTTGGATATCTTGACCAGTCTCCACAAATCCTTTGTTTTCTCTGAGGACCAACACAAATCACTTCAATCATTTGATGAGGTTGCAGACTCGCCATCAGAAGATGCCCAGCGACGTCGGATGCTACATGCATTGCTGGACCTTATTTCCCTTGAAGGGATATATCCTTCGCTATCATCTGGCGTTGGGATCCCACTGCAGCAGCGGGTAATCTCGGTTTTGCCCGCCGGTGTTATTGCAAAGCAGGCTCATGTAGTCGCTAGCAGTATACCGCACGACGAGCCTCTTTTGCGTCGGATAATCGACGGTTTAGTTGACATTCTTTTCGACCCGAGACCGAGCCTTCAGCCGATCATTCGTGGTCGTATATTGAGTGACATAATCAGTGGTATATCTGACCTGGCTTTCAATCCAAATACTACGGACTCGTCGTACCGAAACATATATCAGAAATCGCTAGCTAAGCTAATTGATGAGTATGTTCCTGTTTCCATTGATATTTCAAGGTAATATTAACAGCCTAAAGTACCCCAACCACGGTTTTGCTGCCTACAATGTCCTCATTTCTGCAATCAGATACTGCACCATGGTTCAAGTCAACCATTTCCAGTCAGATCTCGCACGTTCCGCTACGACCCGGCGGCGTAGTGCAAACCATCATGTTCATTGCATCGCAGTTTTCCCCATCGCTAGGCCAGGAGGCACAAGACCAATCAAATGGCCCTCGTTTGACTGTGCAGGCCATCATGCAGATCTCACGACTCCTTTCTTCTGTGCCATCGGATGTTGACCCAATTGTCTATTTTGAAACAATTGCCCCCCAACTGCTAGCATTAATAGACGGCGATGATCCGGATCTCAGGAAAACCGCATCATACGTCGTCGGCAATGGAATTTTGGGGAAACGTGCCTATGGTGCTCCAGGTACCGTTGGTCACTCCATCTTTGTGGAGCCGATATTCAATGCACTTACCGGAAACCTCGATGATAAATCGAGGAGATGGATTAGTCGCTTCACCAGTATTGAAGGCTCTGTGCCACACGCCACGGAAGCAGATCCCGCATCCAATGTCTTGGTGGATGGCGCCACAGTTGACGTGGCTCTAAACAGACTGAGGTGTCTGGCACTGCAGCATCCAAACCCGGGTCTCGTGAAACGAATCGTGTATCCGATTCTTCTTCCATTGTGGGGCTTGGTCTGTTTTTCAAAGGAGGAAGAGCAGACCACATTGCACGAAAAGATCCTGCCCTTACTCCAGACGTATTTTGGCATCTCTGTTGGAGCTCAACCCCTCAAAAAGCTGGTTGATAACCTCCTTTGGGATGGCGGCGCAACGTGGACATACAATAAGGATTCTGACGCTGGAATTGAGTTGCAGAAGCGGAGTGAGGGAACGAACGAGCATTCAAATCTGATGCGACTGATCGATTCCCTCCAAACACGCGCGGAACTTTTCGTCAGTCTCATTGGCTCTGATCCCAGCAGCGAGGAACGAACCGGTGATATTTTCCTCTATGTCAGTGAAAACTGGCTAGTACAGCCCCAAGGCTCTCCACTCCCCCGCAACACACTGAGCGGAGGCCCTGTTGGTGAAAGTGACAACATCATTCAGAAGCTTGTTAGTGCCAAAATTGCAGAGAAGCTGCTTGAGAACTTCAAAGAAGCACTAACTCGACGTCCGCTCCGAGTTTTAGAGCTCATCAAGCAAGTCATTGATGGGGAGCTACATAGACTGAGCGCCAAAGAAACGGCGACTCAAGGCAAAGTAAATAGCAAGGTGTCCCTGTCATCTTTAGCCAATATTGTGGAAACAGAGGACAAAAACGAAGAGCAGTTCGCTAACGACTCCTCTGAGTCCGTTTCAACCGCCTTCAGTTTGATGTCTACACTTCTTGCATCCGCGGACTTCTCGCCCACTGCTGAAATTCAACCCCTCCTTGAATCTATTAAAAAGGATCTCGATCAACTCATTCCCTTGCTCCCTTCTACCCTTTCCAAGCCAGCAACGACCTCATCTATGTTGCTAGAGATTCACCTTGCCGCTGCAGACGATACCACAGTCAAGGCAGCACCAGCTCATGTTCTGGATCTTGACACGCATCGTCAAGCACTTGCGAATCTCAACTCAGATCTACCACCCGTGCAGGCTGAGGGTCTATCGCTGATTTCCAAACTGATCGTGGACTCATCACCCGTTATTGATGTGGGATCAACCCTCACACTACTGCTGTCACTCATCACCGACACGTCTAAGACCGCTGCCAACGAGGAATATGCATACCTCGGCGCAATCAAGATAGTTGGTACATTGGCGTCACGTCATCCACGTACCGTGATCAAAACATTGGTTGAGGAGTACGCAGACAGAGGCGAACGACGAGCATTGGACGCAAGACTCAGGATTGGTGAGTGTCTGCTGCGAACAGTGCAGGAGCTGGGAGACGCACTGGCCGGTGAAACGGCCAAAATTCTTGGTGAGACCATCATTGCCGTCGCCGGACGACGTGGCAAGAAGCAACTTGCGCATGAAACCCGCAAGAAGCAACTTGCCAAGGAGAGACGGGAGCGGGAGCGGGCGCAGCGCAAAGAAAAAGAACCGACCATGCCTGAAGGCTGGTCCATTTCATCTGGAGTAGCCAAAGCTGCATCAGAACTAGACCTCGCAGACCTCTATTCGGACGACGAGTCCCCAGAGCAATCAGAGTACGCCACAAACGTTGTTGCTGCATGGGCTGCCGGTGCATCTGCAGATGATGCCCCTGATGATCTTCGCATCCGAGCATCGGCAATTTCCATTCTTGGATCGGCCATCAACGTCAACATCTTCGGTCTTGGCCCCGCCATTCTTTCTTCCGCTGTCGAACTCGCGCTTGCCACATTGACTCTCGAGGGGGAACCGGAGAGTGCCATCCTCCGCCGGGCGAGTATAATTCTGATCTTCGACATTCTCAAAGCTCTCGAAGCAGCGCGAGAGACACGCGGAAAGCAGGACATTGGGTTCGGCTTTTCGCTTTTGGACGACTCATCTTCTAGTTTTGCCGCTCCATACGGTTCCAGGACCCAGGGACAGTCGACCATTGGCAACATCCCTGCTATGCTACGCACGCTCCGCTTTGTCGAGGGTAGTGAGGAGGACGGGCTCGCTCGTGGAAATCTGCGGGCTTTGATTGAAAGTTTGGAGGCTTGGTCGGAGAAGTCTTTGATGTGGGGCATTGGCGCCCAGGACGGTCAAGATGCCTTCAACCCACGATTTGGACTGGGCGACAAGATCGCCGGTCTACATATTGATCCCATGGCAGGGGAAAATACTGGACATCCGCGCATCGAGGAGATCGAATAAAGTAAAGGGTTGCATCACATTGGTCCTGTACGATAGATGGAAGCTCACAGTTGTCCCAATGATTACCTTTTTCTACAATTCAATATTCAATATCTATCAAATCTCAAATAAATTAAATAATAGCAGATCAGGATAGGGCCCAAATCTGACTAAAGACTTTGGCATCTTGCATTCCCATCAGATGTCAATCTGAGGACCTGCAGATATCGACAGCCAATCAGCCATCTGATCACCTGTTCCCACAAGCATCATTGGTCTAGTGGTAGAATTCGTCGTTGCCATCGACGAGGCCCGTGTTCGATTCACGGATGATGCACGTTATTTTTTTTTCGTTTTGTCCATTTCCCTTGGACTCCACTGTATTTTTCGATAGGCGAACAGAAACATTTCGGAATAGTTACATGTTGTCCGTGAGTTAGGTTGTACGTATGCTCTGTGCAACTCGGTACCCACCTATAGCTTACCATCTTACAATCCAGTCGAAACTGAATGTGGTTGGCTCATTGTAAGTGGCCTGGCCAATGGGGATTTATTAATGACAGATTGTTGGCCAAATTGACCGGGGTCTGGATCTAATTGATTGACTAGGGTGACTCGGAGACAGTAGAAAGCGAAATAAAGTGAAATAAAAGATAGACTTAATTGAATTAATTGAAAAGGTTGGAGAAAGTGAGAACCAAGGTGGAAGTGACGGAAAACCCATGGTATATGCAGATAAAACACGGGCTATGTGCATACAGAGCGAGCTATTCTACCAAGTCACCAGTACATTAAAGTGCCGAAATTCAAGTCGAAAACAAGGGACCTCTGGACTAAAACTAGATATGTAGTTTCTGCCCACTGTGCGGAATCATAACTTCGTTACATACATGCGCAGAGCAAAACAAAAAGAAACTGGTAAAAGATACTTTCTCACTTAAACTTCTCACGTCATCCGATTCGAAACCGGCAATCCACCAAAACACAAGTGCCTCATGTAGGCGGGAGAGTCAAGTACTGGTCAAGTTTACCAGGCATCGGCGCTCTGGGCCGAGGGGCCTAAGCTGCCACGCCCGCCACGACCACCGTAGCCACCACGCCCAGGACCACGTCCGCCACGACCTCCGCGGCCACGTCCACCACGGCCGCCTCGTCCACCACGACCACCTCGATTGCCCTGGAAGTTCTGACGAGGGGCTTCGGGGCGAGGGCCAGCTTCCATGCGAGCCTGGCGTTCTTCCTCGCTCATGTCGAACTTATTTTCGATCCCGATGAGGCTGCAGAAAGTAGTGGTCTGTGGGTTGCTGTATTCCCTCGGCTGCTCATGGGTGTTGATTGAAACGAGAGGGTCATAAACGGGGGCAGTCAAAACAAAGTTAGTGGGGACATTGAGCAATCCAGCCTTGACAACATTCTCCTCTACCCAGTCTTCCTCCTCGGCGATGCGCTGTTGGTAGTACTCATAACCCTTATGGGCAGGGACAGGAACATTGGGGTTTCCACCAAACTCAAGTTCATCAGCAAAGGCACGAAGAATGGCTAGCCACTCCTTGTCGTACTGAAGTTGCAGGGGGGACTCCACAGCAGCATCATCCTGTTCGGAGATTGGCTCAATCTCCAACAACTCAACAAAGTCGTCATGATTGTGTGGCTTGTCCAAAGTCAGGAAGTCGGTCACGAGATTCTTGATATTCTCAGGGGCCGGAAGATCCTGGGCTGGGCGCTTGGAGACAGGGTTGGGTAGAGACGACTGCGCAAGGCTGGTTGGGAGTGCGGCTTCGACTTCGCGAACACGATCATCCACACCGTCATTCCACCAAGGATCTGGAGAGCGATCATCACGCCAATTCAGAGATATATCAGTTTTTGGAAGAGCCTTCCCGGCTGGAGGAGACCTTGCGCTCGCGGCACTGCTTGGGCTTGTAGAGATGCTGATCTTGTCAATATTGTCAGCGACATCATCGGTCGCCTGGGCATCCTTGGTCGTCTTGACCTGCTTGGTCGTCTGGATATCTTCGGTTGTTTTACCGAGCGACAAAGATTCCTGCTGGGCAACCACCTCCTCGGGCGACTTATCCACAGTGTTGTTTCCCTGACTGGCTTGGTCGAGGTTTTGGATGTTCTCACCATCGACTAGGGCAGATTCAATCCTTTCTCCATCGGCACCACGTACGAAATTCTCAATGGGGCCGCCGCCAGTTTTAGCTGTTTCATCGAACGTAATGTTCCGCGGAGCTTTCGGCTGTTTCGCTCTGACCAGACGGATGAAGTCGTCGTGATCGCGCTTCTCCTTCTCAGCCCGTCGAGCTTTATCTCCGAATTCATTCCAGGCCTTGATGCGAGACTGTTCGTCTCCGGTTGCAGTACCAAGCAATTCGTGACCAGCAAGGGTTCTGGTGTTAAGATTGCCGCGTGGAGTCGGATTGGTGTCATTTGGATCAGTGACATCAACAGGAGGACTGCGGGGACTCAAAGCGTTGGACTTTGCGCGAGGTGGGCTATGGAGCACCTTTGCAGTGAACCGAACATGCAAATGGGCTGAAAGCCAATAGGCGGGCCGCAGATGGTCGAGGGCTTCACGTGCAGCCACACTTCCAAGCTTTCCTGAATCGGAGTCGGCTTTGAAGCCTGACTTCTTGCGAAACAGGGTTCCATAGTCTCCGTGTTTCTCGACCCCCTTGGGCCAATCATGAGACAAACCAATGTCGACTTGGGTGCGGACTTGAAGTAGCTTGCGCACATCCAGCTCCCGTATATGATAAACGGAAGAAACATCGTCTCTGTTGTATGGCAACCGTTCATAGTGGGCCTTACGGTAGTCGTAGCCCTTCCAGATGCCTGACATTCCAGAGATCCGGAGAGGTCCAAAGCGTACGATATTAGCCGCGCCCAGGAAGTAGATGTTGGGGGCCACCCAACCACCGTAATAGAGCTCGGACAGATGATTGCTCGCCTCATGGTTGCCTCCGATGAACAGTGTCAGATAAGGAGCAACACGATCTCCGCTATAATACTCATGAAAATCGCCGATTTGCTTAAACTTGTCAGGAACCGAAAGACAAGTTGCGTCATTGGCATTACGGAGAGCCTGGTTCAGTCAGTCAACGTTGGGCTATGGAAGCGGACATGACAAGGAGCTCACCTGAAAATCTCCACCAATGATGACCAGATCAATAGAGTCCCAGCCTTTCTCAGTGGCCTTGCGATCCACAGTCTCATAAATGTCGTTGAGGCTGCCATGGCCCTATGTAAGATGATTAGCAACCAGCTGTGAAGTGGATATGTCACATGAAGTGGGGGATCCCCATGCAATATTACTTACGCAGCCTTCCACGGCTATCCGCACAGGTGCCATCGTGAACGAACCCGACTGAGCTATCGGATTTTGATAGCACTGAAAAAGAGAAAAGGCTCAAAATGAGGCTGTCTGAGAAAAAAAAAGAATACGAAAGCAATGCCGAGAAGCTAATGACAGTTTCAGGAAATAAAACGAATAGAAAGCGAGAGAGGAGTAGGGATAGGAAAGGGAAAGGGTAGAGAGCAGAGAGATGTAGATGGGAAGAAGCGGCGGGTGGAGCTGGCTTTTAAGCTCCCGCGCGGCAAATTTCTGAATAGCAAACGAGCTATTGTCTTCCGTTTGTCCCTATTGTGCTCCGTTTGCCTCCATTGTCATTGTCATTCAGTTGCCAATTATTCTGATTTCTCAATAGAAATCTTTCTCTCTCAGTAAGGCACAATGTCTCACATTGACTCCTTTCTCATTCAGGCTGCCTCGGCTGTCCCCCTCGGTTCGTCGACATCAGCTCATCTGCAAGCGGTGCACACCCGGCTTCTCCACGAGGAATCTAAGTCATTGAATGTCAAGCAGAAGAGAGACTACTGTGGAGCGTGTGGTAGTATTAGAAAGCCCCAGTGGAGTAAAGCTACTCAGATCAAGCCGAAAAAAAGCAAGCGTTTAGCCTCATCGGCATCTACGGGTGCCACTGTGTACAAGTGTTTACGGTGCTGCCAGCGGACAGTATTACCTCAAAGGAATTCAAGGAAAACCATCACGAAACCTTCGTCTAGAGGAGCTACGGTTACTTCCACTCGAGGGTCGACTCCAGTAGGGATTGACATGAAAGGTTCAACGCAGGCCGTGACAGATCCCAAGGCAGTTGACAATCAGAGCAGCAAGAAGAGAGCTAAGGCAAGGAAGCAAGGTGGCCTTCAAGCTCTTCTAGCCTCCAAACAACGTGCCCAACCTTCACTTGATCTGCTCGACTTTTTGCAGTAGAGGTCGCGCACGTGAGTTTATCGCCAGATCGGGACTAGCGCGGGGCAGCTAGCTTGCCTGCGACTCCAGGCCCGTGACGGTGACCAACACCACATCTCCAGCGCGTGTGTCCGCAAAGTCTACTGCGATTTCGCTTTCCTTATTTCTTGATTTCACCAAACTGTCTCTACTGTGGTCCCATCACCGCCACAATGTCGTCTTACTCTGATGACGAACATGATCCCCAGGCGGATGAGCTCCGCGAGACCGCCTTGGTCACGCTCGAGGCGTTGATTAGCTCCTGCAACAAACAGATGCAACCCTACCTAGCGAGTACCACTCGATCAGCTCTTCGATTTTTGAAATATGATCCAAACGTCGCCGAAGTGGAGGACGATGAGGAGATGGGAGGCACACAGGACGATGGGAGTGAGGACGATGCCACGGAGGAGCCCGACCTGCTAGAAGACGACGAATTCGAGGACTTTGAAGAAGAAGGCGGCTACAGTGATATCGACGACATGAGCTGGAAGGTACGCCGGTGTGCTGCCAAGCTTCTCTACACCGTCATCTCTACCTACGGGCTTGGTCGCGCTTCGGACGCCTCTGCCCTGTTCCAGCAGATTGCCCCAGCTCTGATCTCCCAAATTATCAGGGAAAGAGAAGAGAGTGTGAAACTTGAGGTGGTGTCTACATTGACCGCGCTTGTTCGGAAAACTGGCGGGGGTTCCATGATCGTCACATCCAATGACTTCTTGGAGGCCGT